TAGTCCTTTCTTAGACACTGAACAATCTCATATCCTACGTACTCTCCTGTTAGGCCCTGTAAGCGGGGTGAGCATATAGTTATCAGCCACGCAAGAACTCTTTTGAGCGAGTGAAAGGGAACACTCTTCATAATTACACTACAACTGTCATAGACCAGGACTGTCCCAGGCAAACCAGGACATGTGGTCCCGAGAGTGTCCAAACAAAGATTTAATACCGTCTGAGACCACTTGGCCACTGTGTGACCTCGGACAAGTTACTCAGCTTCTCTAAGCCTTAAATTCATCATCTGTAAAATGGGACTAATAAATGGCGAGAAAGCACTCAATAAATATTGGTTGTGGTTGTTGCTGTTGTTTTTATTAACTTTACTTCTCCAAATATGTGGAATTAGCAGCTATAAAAGAATCTAAGAATATTCTCTCGTATTTTCTTGGTTTATAATATTTTTTTTGGCTGTCTCTGTGCAAATACTTAACTCTAGTCTGCCTTTGCAGGCCATTATTTCAGGGGGACAAAAAGCCTTTAATTTAGAAATGATTCTTTTGTGAGGGCTGCCTTTAACGAAACAATGGGTTGAAAGAAAGCCTGTTGCTTCACCTCTGTTTGCCCTGGGGAATAACTTTGAATATTAGATGAAAGTCTCATCTACATCTAATTAGACATCCCGCTACTCATCCCAGAATATCCACTCTCCTCATTGTGGAACGGGGCTGATTATTTTAAATTTAGCTTTGAATTATTTTTTTAAACCAATATCTTGACAGTTGCAACTTGTTTCTAACTGAAATGTTGAGTTGAATTTGATGATACTGTTGTCATTCTGCTTATTTAACTTATTTGGCATTGGGGGGGCGGGAATCTCTGGCTACTTCCACTAAAGCAGTTTGTGTGTACCAAATGTGGGCCAGAGCAGCGACCTCATGGTTGTAGGGCTCACTTTTTTGGATCTGGGGGGAAGGAGAGAAGCCCCCAGAAGATCACGGTGTTGTCACCGTCTTCTGCCTCCAAAAGAAGGAGTGAGCCACATGCAAAACAAACCCGGCTAAGGCCAGTTGTTTCTGTGGCCCAAGTTAACTTGATGATTCATCTCTATTCTATAAACAGAAGGTAGGTGCCGAGTGAGGGCACAGCAGAGGCTCCTGTGGGCTAGGGTTGACCGGAACTGTAAGACAATGTGCACTTCGGGGGCAAAAGCCCAGCTCTGGAGCCAGAATCCTGTGTTTGCCACCTAGCTTCGTGAGTATAGGCAATGTATTTAGTATAGGCACTGAGCCTCGGTTTCCCCATCCGTAAAGGGGAGTTAATAATAGAACCCATCTTCTGTAGTTGTTACAGGATTCAGTAGGAGAAGGCGTGTAGGCCCTTGGCACAGGGCCTGGCTCACATTAAGGAATAACTATGCCAGTCACTGTTGTCACTTCTTGCACAGCCTCAGGGAACTGGGAGAGCCCTTGGCTGAGGTGCACGGGCTCTTTACTGCCCCCTCGTGGCCCGGATCAGAGTGGTCTGGCGTGGTGGAAGCCTGGAGATGATACCTTGAAAGCAAGAAAATTGCTTTGCGTTTTATTGCTTTCTTGATGACTTCCAAGAATGTCTATTCAGCTTTTCAAAAAGAGGATGGGAAAATACCCCGAGGGCTCTACAATCAGTATGATTCTTCCTTGTGTGGGAGGGTGAGCATAAAGTCTGTGGTGGGCGTCCTTGCCTGAGAGGTTGGGGAGGTCCCAGCTGGGAGGTGATGACGGAGAGGAAGAGAGACAGATGAAATGGAGTGAAGGGTGAAGCTGTGGCTGGTTTCCCTGGACGTTCAACTGGGACATGGCTGATGTTCCCAAGGCCCTTGGAATTTCCTCAGTGCTCCATCTTCGTGGGCCCGTCTCGTCGCACGTGGACTCAGCAGGCCACGGCCACATCAGCACTTCCAATCGCTGCCTGAGAACAACTTGCAATTTGCCATGACCCTCAGGGGTCACCTCCTTCAAGATGGGGTGAGGTGCCCCCAGAGCCTGCTGTGCACCCCTCTAGCATAGTGCTTAGACCAACAGGCAATTCGAGACAGTGTCTTGGTCTCCCTTGGGACTGGGAGTTTCTGGAGCGGCCGTCTGCAGAATAAAGCACAGGTGCCAATGCTGTGTGCTGAAACAGTGGCCGGTGGATGCGTGATGATCTCTGCCCTGAGGATAAGGTCACCTCACCCAGTGGTGCTTAGCATAGGGCTTTGCATGTAGTAGTAGCTCAGTGAATGAGTGCAGAAAGCATGTTCTCGGGGAGCTCCTGAAGACTAAGATTAATTCACAGTGTCTGAGCACCTCATAAATGCTGTCATAAGGAGGTTTTTATAAAGAGCCATAAAACACAGCCCTTGGCTTCTAAGAACACATCTTGTTAGATGTTCAAATTAAAAGAAACTCTTAAATTGTAGTACAGGTCACGTAATGACTCAGGGCCAAAATGAGCCATCCGGATGAATGTTGGGAGTTGAAACATGAAGTGTTGGACTGCTCCATGGGCTTAAGACATGTTCTGCTGTTGCCATCTTGAAATACTTAATAATTTTTGGATCGGGTGCCCTGCACCTTTATTTTGCACCAGGTCCTGGCTGGTGACAAGGCAGTCAGGAAAAGCTCAGCGGTGGAGAGGGCGTCTTGAGGAAGGTTTGTCTGGGTAGAGAGGATGAGCAGCAGAGCTGGGCTGGGGTTCTCCAGGATGTATCTGTCCTGGTGCCAAGCCCAGTGAAGCCTGGTGTAGCTCTGCATACCAGCTCAGGACATGCCTGTGGAGGGCGGGGGTCGGGTGTGGCATTCAGACCCTAGCATGCCTGTCTGTGAGGAAATGCTGGTTCGCAGGTGGCCCTGCATGGGAGCCTGGTTCCCCATGTGCAGAGGGGCAGGCTCATCCTCCCCAGGGAAGCCTGGGAGAGCCGCGGTCGCAGAGCTTACTTGGAAGGGTGGCCTGGCCTTGCTTTGCTGCACTAGAGTCACACTTTCTTCTGGAATGTGGCGGGTAGACACCTTAGAGCTCCTGGAAACCCAGAGGAGAAAAATGACGGGAAACAGCTCTGTAAGCTGGAAAATGGTCATTCTTCCCTGGAGCTGGGCACAGCTCCTGGCACTGGAGGACCCTCGCTTGGTGTTTGTGACATATTGAGGCTGAAAGCCCATTCTTAGTCATCCAGCTAATACCTGTCTGTTGGGGGACAGGATCCAAGTCATCCACAGAAGTGTGGCCAGCCTTTGTTCTCCAGGGATACACAGTCTCGGTTTGGGAGGAGACAGTCACACACATGTCCAGTCCTCCTGCTCTCTGACAGACCAAGTCTAGCTCTCCTCTACAGGCTGTGGGTGCCTCCTAAACAAGGCACCTCACTTGTCTGGGAATAGCAGTGTTCGGGAGGGTGAAGATAGAGCATGTAGGGCACATGCCTGGGCCAGTGAGGAGTGTTGTTACTGTTAAGAGTCCAGTCTGTGATTGGGAGGTCAGATGATGGAGGGCACACATGGGCCAGCAGGGCTGGAAGAAGAGGTACAGGTACTAGAACCACAGGTGGGACAGAGGAGAGCCCGAGCAAGGGTGGAGAGGTGTGTAAGTGGCATGTTTGGAGTGAGTGGAAGGGAGAGGGAAGCCTGAAACTCATGGGGAGCAATGGGGAGAGTCCTGCCCCCCAAGCTGGAGGGAGAAGTCTTTTGTGTTGGCTGAGCAGGGGGTGGCAGGTGTGGGGGACTTGGGGCTGGTGATGGTGGTCTCTGTCGCAGACATCCTTATAGTGGCACCTCCCTCAAAGCCCAAGCAGAGCGCAGGGCTCCTGGGGAGAGCCCTGAGGAGAGAGGCCCCCTTTGCTCCCCACTGCCCTGTTATGCGCCCTCCTGCTGGGGTTCTCCTCAGTTCTCTTCTGTCTTGGTGTCTGGGCTTCCCTATTCAGTCTCCCTTCTTTCTCCATGATGAAGGGGAAGGTGAGCCCAACACCAGCGGACCATTCATGGTCAGCCTGGCCTAGCATGGCCCCGGCCCACCCGCTCCTGCTCCCCTCCGCAGAAAGGCATTTAGGCTCAGCCATGGGAGCCATGTGATGAGTGACCTCGGGCATGTCTCTTAACCCCTCTGGTCCTCAGTTTCTTCTGGAATACATTTGGCATAATAGCACTGCCAGGAGACGAGGCTGTGACGAAAGTGTCTGCAGTCTCCTTGCTAAGGACGTGCTAGGGCAGGGTACTTGCTGTGTCCTTGTAAGTGTTGGCAGAGCCAGCTGTGCATGTCACTGGCTCCTGCCTCCTAATATAGCAGACAAGAAGTGCAGACGAGGTGGAGGCATGTCCGCTTGGACAGTCCTATGGAGTGTGAGGGACCCAAGTGGACACAGGGGTGCCTATTTCAGGGCCTGGCTGACTTGGATATAGTGAGACGCAGGGCTGGGGGCAAGTGCGAGTGGCCTTGTCTTGTGACCTCACTCACATTTAGCAAGTGCTCACCATGCCCTGGTTTCCTGAGTGTATTATGTGGATTTTCTCCTTTGACCCCAGAAGCGCCATGAGGTGTGTGTGCATTGTCTCCACCTTGCAGAAGCAGAAACAGAGCCTCAGTACCTCCCCAGATGTGGCTCCCAGTCAGCCTGGTTCCAGAGCCCCCAGCCTCTCTCTAGGCACTTCCTGCCCCTCTCTGAGCCCCACTGGAATCTTGGGGCCCTGGACCACAGGGATCTTGACTGGTCCCCTGTCTACTCTCTTTTCTAAATGGGGACCATAGTGGGACCCTCCAGTCCTGTTCACACCGACCGGGCTGTTCTGATGAATCTGCCCCAGGTGTGGGAGTCCGGTGGGGAGGAAGCATTAACCTCGAGGCGTGGCTTTCTGTCTCTGGACGGTGCTTATATTCCATAGAGGTGATAGGTATATGGGACACACCAGTTTTCCTTCCAATAAATTTGTCTGTTCAGGACATGGTAAATATCTGATTGTCATCCTGGCTTAATTAAGTGGAAAAAAAAGTCAGTAGTCTAGAATTTTGGTACATTTCAAATATATTTTATTACTTTTTGTCTTAGAAAGAATATGAAACTTGCATGCAACACTAATGGTTTCTGACATTTACATAGCATACGACACAACAATGCGATATATACTGAAGGGGTAGAGTGTGGAGGGGGCATTCTTAAGAGTATATTTACAAAGGTAAGGGTGCATGGTCATCTTATTGTTCCAAAGAGGACTGCACTGTTTAACATTGAAGAATTACGTGGGGAATCACAGATCGCTTTAGTACTGCATGTCCCATTGTGAAGAGAGAAAGAAACATGCTTTGAAGGTTCTCCCTCGTCAATAGAAAGTATGTCTGTAGCTGTATATTGTGTGCTTATTCGTATATTTTTAAGTTTTCTCCTAAGGGTTTTGCTAAAGGAGTCGGAAACTTCACGTGCTTCCAAAGCATTAACTATCGAAGCAGTGAGCCTTTTACAAACCCTCAGGCTGGAGAGAAGACCCAAGCTCTTCCTTAAGGACCATTTGCTTCGCCATCCTGGGATCTTGGAAATGTTTTCTAGAGTGTGTAAAAACTAACCAGGGGGACGAAGCACGTTTCTCTGGCAGCCAAACTCGAGTTCCTAGAAGAACAGATACAAAGAGATCTGCTCCTGCTTGCCTGGCAACCGGGGCCACTGTGGGGTCCCCCTGAGCCTGTGACTGACCGTGAACCCCGGAGAGCCTGTGGCAGCTGTGCTGAGGCGCCAGGACCTCTGAGCGGACGCTTCCTGCACTAGGAACAGAGCAACGCTGCTGTGAAATGTCTCAACTGAGCTCCCTGTTCCTCCCAGGCGCTTATAAAGCTCAGATGTACAGTGATGTCTGGACAAATACAAAAAAGCATTTTTTACAAAGGGAGGGCATGAGTTTCCTGCTTTTCAGTAAAAAGCAGCCTGTGATGAAGTCTGGAGCGCAAGAGAGACGGGTCTCACATCTGGAAGCCTTTTGCACACAGCTATAAAATGTAAAAAGTGGCCCTTGGTAAAAAGTGCTTCGTAACAATATAGAATTTGTGTCTTATGCCTGTGAGAAAGAAGGGGTTTGCTTTTTTTTTTTTAATCTGCAGAGTCCTTTGCTGTCTCCCAACCAGTATGAAGTTTTCCCAGTAGGGTGGTTCACCCTATTCTTCGTAGACCCTGAGAAGAGAAAACACCCATGTAAGTGGCTCAGGACGAGACTCAGGCAATGCACAGGTGGTGGCTTTGCTGCTTCATTCTTGTCTTCGGGAGTGCCCCCTCCCAGGACTGCAGGAGCCCAGGAGACGTGCGGGGAGCATCTCAGAGGATGCTGTCACACGGACCACGAAAACTCACCTGAATCTGGCTTGGTGCTTTCTAAACAGCCTTCACCTCTGCAGTCTCACTTCGTCCTCAAAGCTCTATGAAGCAAGCCCTCTTTGTATATGAGGAAACAAGAGACTTATGGACACTGAATGCCGGTGGTGGGAACAAGGTCTGTCTCCACCATGGCACTGGGAGGAGAGGCCTCTCCTCCCTCAACCTAGGCTTGTGTCTTTCTTTGCATTTTGCCCAAAGAATGTATGTCTTCCAGAAAATGCCAGTTCTAGAGGCAGCTGCCTTAAAACTGAAGAGTGGTTAGTGGGACTGGGGCTGTTGTGGAGGCCTGTGGCTCGAGGTTACTTCCTCTACTAGTTATGAGGCCTGTGCGCATCCACAAACTGAGCTTTCCCCTCACCTCCCAAACCATTTCTTTTTAGACACTTTAATCCCTTCTCTGCTGCTCCATGACTGCCGGCGGGTGGGAGACCACACTTCACACTCAGACAGCCTATTGCTCCCTCTGCCTGTTTCTTGATTTTTGAGTAAAAAACCCTCATTATGCATTGAAATCAAATGTCTGATGCTGCTGCTGCCAGTGGCAGCAAGAAGCTGTGGGCCCTGAGATGCTCGGAGCTCACTCGTCTGCCTCCGAAGGCTGGGTTGGCCCTCCTTCCTCTATGCTAGCTTCAGCATTCTCTCCCTCTCTCTGCAAAGAGGACTTCAAGATAGTTCCCTTATCTCCATTCTCTATTCACCGAGAGATTTTCACCTTTCACAAGGAAAGGGGAGGTTGAGAGGACAAGGGAATGTCCCCTTCCTCTCCTGGGAC